ATACAGTGCCCCATATATTCATCTCTGGTTTTGATGAGGGTCTTACTTGACTTGATTTCACTATGTGTGGAACATAAAAATTTAAACTCAGGAAGAGAGTAAATGGCAGTTTCTGGAGAAGTGGGGAATAGAAAGAGAAGAGATACTTGTCAAAGGAAACAAAATTACAGAGACATGATAGGGAACTATTTTCCATGTCTACCTTTGATACCTTCCTTCTGTACTTCAAGATTTCCCTCCATTATGTTTCACATGTCTGGAAGAATTTCTCTGACACATCCTCTACTAGATAAAAATCAAGATGATCTTATCTTCCAGATTTCAGGATAAACTCTACTGTTATACCTTCAATGCTTTTAAACTTTGTGACTTTAAGAATATTACATGTGCTACAGGTAGCATTTCAGTGTGATTCATTTAACTGCCCCAAGATTGGACTGTGAACCACCTGGAGATCAAGAACCATGCTTGCACTGTTTATCTCTGATTTTCTCTATTCCACTTCCTATTAACAGAGTCTCATTCTATAGTTACTGAAATTCATAAAACGAAAGTAATCAAGGTTTGTGATACTGAATAGGTCAAGAGACCTATTGATGAGGCTCTTTTTTTGGCATTTCATTGTTGATATTCTCCTATAGATATTGTCCTATTCTCTTCAACTAATAGGGAGAAAGATTGAGAGTGTGTAACATATAAAGGCATTCTGATAATTGCAACTGGAAGATGCTTTGCTTTGGAAGCTACACTCAGGATGTTTTGATTGTCAGCACTGCTCAAGGCTTTGCAGCCCACTGCCTGGGGCAAAAGCATCTGTTGCTTCTGGAGCTTGAGTTGTCTCACAGCTGCACTTGCACTCACTCTTCGTTACTTCGTTTTACTGCCCATGTAGTTTTCCATGTTTCTTAGCTTGTCACAGCAGCACTTGAAAAAAATATATGCTTTTTTTTCCTTTTAAAAAGCCATTTCAGCACAAATTTTTATCAGCATCCAATAGATGCTCTCAAGTTTGCTTAAGATATATTTTAGAATGTTTTAATTTGGTGATCATGTTTATCAGCAGGGCTGCCTTTTTAACAGATTTGTGAGTATTTAATACGGTTTCTCTGGCTAGAGGTGCTATGCTGCACAGCGGGTTTCTAGAATTAACTTCATTCTTTCTTCTAGGAAACTTTTGGCATATGTCTTCCCCAATTCCCCTCTCACTCTTAGTATGATATTTTTTTAATTGTTTATATTTACAGTTCTTCTAAAGACAGATTTTCTTTAAAAGTTTGGTTACTTGCAAATACCATCCCAAGTTATCCATAAGTCATTCACCTTCTTAAGGTAGAGTTTAGAGGTGGAAGTGTGATGATTACAGGTAGTGACACTGATGTTGAACACTCACTGCATTCCAGAGACTTTCTTTGTCACTTTAAATGGAGTGTCCCATGCAATCCCACCATCCCTGTGAGTGATATGGCTAGTATCTCCCAGTCTCTAGAGAGGAAAAACACAAGCTTCTACACAATAAGTAAGTTTTGTATATAACACAGTTGTCAAGGATGAAAGCCTAGTCTGAGTTCAGGTAGTCTACTCCAAAGTCCACATTCATAATCACTATGGCTGTGGAGAATACAATTTAGAGCTAAACAATGGACATTCTGACTGAAAATCAGAGTTTTGTCCATCTATTAGAGTGATAGCACTTTCTGGATATAGTAATTCTTCCTTCTTTAAATTGTATTCTGCAATTCTACAATTTTCCCCTTGTACTCGTTACCTGCTGCTGATAAATTGCTCTGTAAGTGTTTTTTTACCTTCCATCTTGGGACAGTTTCACTACTGTTAACAAGTGCATGACAGAAGTATCACATTACGATTCTTGTTGATTCTGAGAGAAAGTACCATAAAAGCCACTCTCTGTATGCCTGAATTTATTTTCACTAGCCGAACAATGGGAACACATCTAACTCTAAGAAAAAGAATCAGAGGAAAGTACATGTACTTATGTCTTTTCTCCTAAAAAAAGTCAATATGAGGATTGTAGGAAGATGATGCTTATATAGTTAGGCAAGTGTACATTTGGATATTTAATCACAAAATAGATTTTATTGAAATATAAAAAGCAAATACTCATACAAAAGATATTCTAAAGTCAAAGGATCAAGCCGGGCGGTGGTGGCGCACGCCTTTAATCCCAGCACTCGGGAGGCAGAGCCAGGCGGATCTCTGTGAGTTCGAGGCCAGCCTGGGCTACCAAGTGAGTTCCAGGAAAGGCGCAAAGCTACACAGAGAAACCCTGTCTCGAAAAACCAAAAAAAAAAAAAAAAAAAGGATCAGTACTAGACTTGCCAATTAGTGTTAGAAAGTTTTTAGATATGTTATAGCTTATATTAGCTACCCTGTGTCATACCATAGTGAAATGTTTTTTTCCACCTTTATTTCCCCCTTTTCTCCCATCGCTGCTGGCTACTGAATCCAGGGTCCTGCGCATGCTGGCATGTGCTTTTTCACTGAATAGATATCGTCAACCTAAAATAGTATACTTTGAAATGTATCTAATTTAGGGAAGTATTAATATATCTTTAGTTGCTTCTACTATTTTATAATTGTGTGTTAATATAATATTAACTCTGAAACTACCATGGTTTTCACTTTATATGAGATACTAAAAACTGGCCTATAAGAGATTGACATTATAATCAGGCAAAAGGGATAGTTGGGAAATTAATTTCATACTTATTCTATATACATTCCTATGTCTAATTCTCCTCCCTCAAAGAACCTTCCCCTTCAATTTCATTCCTTTAGGTCATAATATTTAGTCTATGTTAAAAGCATTGCTTGCCTTGAAATTTTTGCTGTATGCTTCTTGAACCATTCTTATTTTTTTCCTTGGCTTAGTTTTTTTTAAATTTGGAAACATTAAATCTTTTTTTTTGTTCTTGTTAATTTAAAAAAAATTCATTTAATGATGAGAAACTATAGACAGGAAACAGTTTGGGTAGAGAGGGAATAAAAAACCAATGCAAGGGCACAGAACTGAAAGGAGAAAGAACATTAAACTGAAGTTGGTAGCAAAGACACCCTTCTCACAATTCTCAGCATTCCCTCTGAGATGGAAGCAGTCTATCTGAACCATCTCTGAATACATGAGGGTCTTGCTTAGTTTTCACAGGTGATAAGTCAAAAGTCTGAAGAATAACAGTGAACATAAGCCTGGCCTTTGCTGTTGTTAGGTGTGACCGTGAACACACTGATAGTTGCCTATTCCTTCTATGACGAATCCTGTGTCTAGAATATGGTTCTCTGCGGTTTTCTGTCCCTTAGTAAAATTTACTTTGATCCTTTAAGCATATCTAGGTAGGCATAGCTATTGCCTTTGAAAAGGAGAGCAGATGCAACAGAATATGGACTCTCAGCTTAAGACATTTTTTTTCTTTTTAAAGTTCTTTTAACCTCTCCAGTGTTTTAACTTTGGTTTTGTAGGGTGAAGTTATGGGATAGAAACCCATTAGAAAAACCACATTTTATTTTAGATGCAATAGTTTTACAGGGAAATCAGTACAGTATTTCTTAAGACCTGCAGTTTTTCAAATAAAGCAACTTCTGTTATTTGTGAGAATTGTCCCACATCAATCATGCTGTCTCAAAGAAGTGACAGAGCTGGGAACAAATACTAGTAAGTCTGGCCCCTAAGCTAATGCACTCCAGGAATGGGTGTGGACTCCTCCCATCATATGTGTCTGATAGAAGAATATTCTCAGTAGACATCTATGTCATAAAAAGAGACCTACATGGATAAGTCTACAGGTACAGGTAGACATGGTCTAGAAGAACATGGCTCTAATTCCTAATGAGCCTCATTTAAGAGAGCTCTTTGACAATTATCTTTTACTTGGAGAAATTTTATGTAATGGCTAGAGAGTCCAAAAAGGCTGAATGTAGTAATCAGGCTCATATTTGAAAAAGGACTTGGGGTCCTTAGGAGTAGTTCATCAGGAACCTGGCCAAAGAACTTTATTGGGAAACTTAGCTTTTCAATGGACATGTGGGGGAATTCCTTTAGCAACCTCAGCTGAAATGAGTCAGTCCATGTGGTCCATGGTCTGTCTTGGCTGTTAGTTCCAGTGGGTTCTGGGGTTATGCTTACAGGTTGTGTATCCTGCACGCTCCATGTCAGAATGAGTGATTTCTGCTTTGAGGCCCTTCAGGTACTGGTTCCTTTGAAAGTTTCAAAGAGGCAAGATGGGATCTTGGAGAATATCATCCAAGTGTGACTCGAACAACCTCACTTGAAGTGACCTGACTTTATGTTGTTTTTGCAGATTGTCAAATGCCTACATGCTAGTGAATGCGGGATGTCATAACTCTTTTCTTAAACTACATTTTAAGCATTGAAAGTTTAAAAAAAAATTATCCTGTGTGTGGTGATTGGTGATAAGGACTTTTTTTGTGTGTGTGTATGATGTGTTAACAAGTGAAAACATGCCACGTTCTCTTTGTAAAACTACTTTTATTTCTAAAATAGTATCGACATAAGCAATCAAAGTAAATAGGGTACCAGCTGACATATTTATGCAAGTCATATAGCTTTAGCGCTTATGGTGATTCTGAGCCAGAAAAAGAACATAATGATTATAAAAGTTTATTTCAAAAGTGGGTTTAGTGATAAGACATTATTTACTTTAGTTTATATTTGAATTCAACTTGACTTACTCATGCTAGGAGGCCTTTTCTTCCTTTAGTCAGTGTTTTATATGGATCTTCAGGTCATGCTTGGTGGTTTTTATCCACCCACACCTCCCCTTTCACACCTGCTGAATAAAAATAGAAGTGGTATTTTATCACTTAATAAACAGTGGCCGGATACTGGAGGTGCTTTTAAGAACAGTAACAACAACAGAAGTCATCATTTAATTTCAAGCCTCCCAGCAAGAGCTGGAATGTGTGTTTTGCATATTCTTAGATGTGGAGATGTAAATAAACACCCATCTTTTAAATTCTTTTCTCAGGTCACGTGTGCCAATTTAACAAATGGTGGAAAATCGGAACTTCTGAAGTCGGGAAGCAGCAAATCCACACTAAAGCACATATGGACAGAAAGTAGCAAAGACTTGTCTATCAGTCGCCTCCTCTCACAGACTTTCCGTGGTAAAGAAAACGACACAGATTTGGACCTGCGCTATGACACCCCAGAACCTTATTCTGAGCAAGACCTCTGGGACTGGCTGAGGAACTCCACAGACCTTCAAGAGCCTCGGCCCAGGGCCAAAAGACGGCCCATTGTTAAGACCGGCAAGTTTAAGAAGATGTTTGGATGGGGTGATTTTCATTCCAACATCAAAACAGTGAAGCTAAACCTGTTGATAACTGGGAAAATTGTAGATCACGGCAACGGGACGTTTAGTGTTTATTTCAGGCATAATTCCACTGGTCAAGGGAATGTATCTGTCAGCTTGGTGCCCCCAACAAAAATCGTGGAATTCGACTTGGCACAACAAACCGTGATTGATGCCAAAGATTCCAAGTCCTTCAACTGTCGCATTGAATATGAAAAGGTTGACAAGGCTACCAAGAACACACTCTGCAACTATGACCCTTCAAAAACCTGTTACCAGGAGCAGACCCAAAGTCATGTGTCCTGGCTCTGCTCCAAGCCCTTCAAGGTGATCTGCATTTACATTTCCTTTTATAGTACGGACTATAAACTAGTACAGAAAGTATGCCCCGACTACAACTACCACAGTGACACACCTTACTTCCCCTCAGGATGAGGACGAACAGGGAATGAGACTGAAGCCTGAGGAATTAGAGGTCATAGGACAGGGCTGTTACCTCAAGGAAGAAGGTCACATCTGTTGCCTGGAATGTGTCTACACTGCTGCTCTTGTTGACTGGTGCAAACACACTAGTGGAAAACAATTGATGTCATTTCTGCCCAGTCAACTGCATCTCTCAGCATAGTTGTAAATCACCATAGATCTCAAAGTCTCACCTGAAGACATGCTATCACATATAGAGGCACATGAGCACTCACTCTTGCACATTTCAGCTTGCATCTATCATGGTTCCCTTTGAGAGGGCTTTCATTGTCTGACTCATGATAGTTCAGGATAAACTATGATCAAACACAAAGAATTAACTAGACAGAGGATGTGTCTAACATGCTATTATGGAAATCTCTTTTAAGGTCTTGAGTCCATGCTAATCAATAATCCCCACTCATGCATTCCTACTGCTTGGAGTAGCTGTGCTGGTGAACACTACTGTAGGAGTTATATGCTTGTTAAATGGAAAAAAAAAATGTGTCTTTAGAGCTCAGTATTCTTTATTTTATAAACACAACAAAGTGTAGTAACTTTTTCCCAGCATACAGTAGGCACATTCACGGTGATACAGGATGGCTTTTCTTTCTCTGGAGGGAGGAGCCCGTTCTCAGTAAAGATGAGCAAACATTTGGAATTTACATGTGGGCAGACACTGGGATTACAGCTTTTCTTGCCTCTCTCCGGACCTTTGCAATGTTGAGAGGAACTAAGGCTGCTTAACACAAGTTCTGATCATTATATAAGAAGGGAAATGCCTGGCAGACACCATGTAAGTTAGAAGTGTCTGTCTTATCTTTACTACACATATTGTAACAAATTCAATATCCTAGTCTTCATTTGTATGAATGGTTTGTATTGTATATAGTTTAACCAAGTGTTATTTGAGCTGCTTATTAATATTAAATTGTACTTGTCTCTCTGCTTGTTATTGGTTAAAAAGAAAAAAAAAAGGATCTGAGGAATCCATTTATTCAATGTAGCTGTGAACTCCATTAAAAAGACAAATTTAATGTACAAAGCATTTATTCAGCCCAAGTATTGTTGAAAGCTATACATATACCACATTACACTGTCTGTATTTAGATATTTTATTTCTGGAAAAAAAGAAATGTACATAAAAATAAAACACTTAAAGTTGAGTTTCAATATGTATTTGTGTAAGATGGTGATTTAAATGGTTCTGACAAGAAGAATGTGCTGGAATACAGCCATGGCTTTGCATCTCATGTCATTGAATTTGAGCAGAATTATCTAAATTGTTATTAGCTGCCCAGTCAAAACAACTTAAGAATTTCGGTCTCAAGCCTAGAAAATAATTGTGGCATACAACACTGCATGCATTTTTGTTTTTTTGTAATGTTAGCTACTCTAGAATACCAAGAAAGAAAAAAATTGCTAGTGAATATTGTTGGTGCCTAAATTAATTATAATGAGTAGACTTTCTCCCCTGTACAGTCATTATTTAGTAGGAGTATTGAAGTCAAGGCCGTGTTTTCTCTTTAAAAGAAAATCAAGCTGTCTTGAAGATTGTGGCTGAATTTCCCTACATTTATTGAGGTGACATCATCCAACTGGGGAAATTGGGACAACATTAGAGGGCTCTGAGTCTCAATTGCTTATACCAGATGAGATCAAATTATCTATGTAGCATTGTATATGGACACTAAGCTTTATTTTTAAAGTTGATGTGCATAATCCTAGAAAAATAAACAGCTGAAGAAATACGCAAGGTCATTCATTTTTAAGACCAATGATTCGGTGTTGAAATTTGAAGAATCTCAAAAGTTAACCAAAGATGCCAAATTAAGAGCACTCATCCCCTGTCACCTTTCAGCACTCATGCACTGTCCCCCTTCCCGTACTGCTCAGTCTGGACCTCTTTTTTATAGAGAAAGCAACAGAAGGATAACAGTGAAACAAAACCCCCAACCCTAAAAGGAGAACTCGATCATTGCTCTGAGGAAAGAGTCTTCATCTGTTAATCATACATGCACCTGCTAAGTGCCCATCTCTCAGAACTCTCTGCCATGTGCAGGCAGCCATTTGTGTCAATGTGTTAATGATCAGTTCGTGAAATTTAGAGGCTAATGTTAGAACAGCTCTGGCAGAACAGGCAGTAAGAGTTTTGTGCATTCCAATTGTTGGACATGCTTTTCACAAATAAGTCTTACCTTGTGCTTATATATCACTATAACCACTGCAGACTTGCTTCCCAGCAGACAAGAGAGATAAATGGGGAAAAATCAGTTGATTTCTTTAGAGTCATTTGATGATTGGACTGTGGCTTTCATTGTGTATTCTGAAGTGGCTTTTCCCAATCCCAAATCCAAAATGAGATAAGAACCTGCTTCAGTCTCTACCCCTCTACTCTGTTCTATATCACCTCCATGAAATATTGCCCATATATCTTTACAAACATACAGAATACACCTAATTTATCTGCTGATCTATAGATTTTCTTTACAAGAATTTTTTTTTATTTCAAGCATTTAAAAATCTAAACTCTTAGACTCTTTCTGGGCCTGTAAATAGCTTTGCAAACTCCATCATTTTTGACACTATGTATTATACAGAGACGTCATGACGACACCAAAGTTTTGAGATTTATCTGCATCTAATGTGTTCTTCCTGTGGTTGCCAGGATGTGGGTAGAGGAAGATCATCAATGTGGAGGCTTCAAATATGCATACTAAAAATTTTACTAGACCAACTTGCTACTTCAGTGAGCTATGTAACTAAGTTTTAATTATGTCTAAAAGCACACTGGTTCTGGGAAAAGTGAACTTTGAACAGTGACCAGGAAACACCTTCTCTCAGATTTTCAAAATTATCCTGCACTTTTGCAAAGATACAGAAGAAAACCTCCAGAAACATAGAGCATCTGAATGAAACAAGGGTTTGTCCATCACTTTGTTTTCTTAAAAAAATTCCAGCAAAATTGAAATTAAGAAAAATGCATCAGTGTAACCTTTTGTTTCACTGAAGAAAAATGATATTGCCAGTTTATCCATTTATGATTAAAAGAAACACTCTTGTCATGATATAGTTTCAGCTTTTGGGTCCAACACCATCCGTAGAGGTTTTGTGCTTGAGTGGAAGGGGCATAGTCATGAATAACGTGGATGATAGAGTTATTCTGCAAGTGCTTGGGAGGATTGTTAATTTAAACCTGTTGCCCGAGTCTTCACTTCAGCAAGGAATTGTAAGCCATATTTTTAATTAACACACTAGATTCCAACAAATCCTGAGAAGCCTGAGAGACCATTTTTTTTTCCTGTTTTCCCACTGCTTTGCATGGAAAAGCAGCTTAACTAATGTAAACAGCTCTTTGGAAGAGCCGTTTGCTTCTTCACCATCAACTGTGAATGCCAAGTTTTAACCAGAAACAAACACAGTATATGTGCTTATAAACTTTCAAAGACATAGTTGACATCTCAGCTCCAGACACTTTATTTAACTAGCAATCTATGTATCTATCTTATTTATCTTCATTTTCACTCAAATGAAATCTAAGTCAGTAGACACCTTTAGAAAAAAATATCAAAAGCAGATTTGCCTAAATATGATCACCATTTACTTAGTTTGTAGGTGACAAAAATTGATTCAATTCATACAGCCTGAAAAGAATCCTTAAAAACTGATTACCAGGCCAGCCTTTTGATGAAGTTTCAAACATATGCATAAAATGCTGATGGGAAACACTGAAAACTTAGGGCCTGCTCTTTGAGTTTCATAGCCAATAGAAAAAATGTTTGAAGTAAGAAACCTGTGATTTAACATTGCTTTCTACTAGGATGGAAAAAATGAAAGTCTTTAAATAAAGAGTCTAGTTTTGATTTTCTTCAAGCAATGTTGAGAAAAACATCCTAAAAGGAGTGCCATGCATCTGGAACAGTGTCCTAAGTTTGACCAAAAGAAGTTTAATTTTCATATTTCTGTCTTACAAGGATATACATTTTGTCACTGATAAGTTACAAGAAGGTGCTAAAGGTCCTAGGAGTGTGAGCTGAGATGCCTTCTTTTGGTAGCTGCAGCAGCTATTCTTAGGGGAGGTCTAAGGCTACTCCAGTTTTTAACCTGGGATTAGACACTCACATACATTCATATCTATGTAGCCCTGGCTGTCCTAAAACTTGCTGTATAGTCCAACTTGGTCTCAAACTAGTAGATCTGTCTGCATCTGCCTCCGGAGTGCTGTGATTAAAGGCATGCACAACCCCTAGTCCATACATCCATCCTTATTCCAACCTGGCTGACACTGCTTTATTATTAAAGCTCTTGTGTTAGGGCTTCATATAACAGCTCTAGATCTAGTGATCTCTGATCCTAGGTTCTTCTAATCAAGCAAGGGAGCAAAGTGACTGACCGCTGAAGAAATATTGCAAGGACTTTTCCAGCATTTGGTTGCTGCTAAATAACTACATTGAATAATTGAATAAGAACACACTTGCTATGGTCAAAATTAACCCAGCAACCTTTCTGAAATCCAGTTTTCATATCAAATTTATTTATTTATGTATTTGTTCATTTTCTAACAGTGTTTCAGTAGAATGCACATAGTGTTGCATTTGCTCAGCAGGTTGTTAGCATTTCATGTTCAGGATCCCTCAGAGTACCATGCAGGTTTCAGCTCTAGTCCTGGCTTAGGTTGAAGTTAGCTCTGATTGTCACTGCTGGTACACCAATATGACAGTCAAGATCATTTCCCAAACTACTATTTGCAAACTGATTTTTGATTTGGAGACAGAGATGTCTTCAAGTTTGATAAGTAGGAGACTTGTAGTTTAGCGATATACAGAGTGATAATGTAATTCTGAATTACTGCAGGTTCCTGCTTGGAATCTCCTTTTAGGAAACTATTTGCTACATGTTTAGGAAACTTTCGACACTGTAACTTTAATTTCCATTGAAAATGTCTCAAACAATTTTTATCTGGGTCCGGTTAGAATCTTCTTATGTTATTAGGTTATCAATCGAATTTTCTTATAGATGTGCATACACATACACAAAACACAGAAGCTATTGTCTGTATAAAGTTGAATGGATGGGGAAATTTGAAAAGATGGCTCAAACTTCTGTTTTAATTTTCTGTCTTGCACTATTTTATTATTCAGACAAATGTACCTAAAACTCTGTTTATGTTCTTCCTTTCTGAAGTTTCTACATGAAAGCAGGTATTGGGTTCTGCTTAGTGTTACCTGATGTTTCCTGGTATTCTAATGACCAAGTATGCTTCTACTCATGTAATTTTCTTAATTGATATAAGCCCCATGTTCTGATAATGTTCAAAACAATCATCACTTGAAAGAAGCAGGGTGTAAAGGGAAGTTACTCTCTACAATTTTTTTAGTAGAACTTGTTCATGTTCTTCCAGTACAGTCTGAGAACACTTCATCGTTAGCTGAGTCTGATCTGACCATCATCACCACATTTTCTACAAGAGTTATGAAATAGAAATTATCAGTAAAACATAGTATACTTTGTATTAAAATACTTCATGTTGCCAAAATACTATATTTGTGGTGTACACTTGATATACAATAAACTATAGAAGCTTACAGTACCCAGTGCTGTACATTTGTGGGTGTGTACACATCACCATTATGAGTAATATTAAGAAACATTTTATCACCCTCCTACAAATTACCTGTGCACTGTTATCATCTCTGGTAATGCCTCCAAACCTTATAACTTCAGGCAACCACTGACATACATTTTGATCACTACATGCATATAATGTATATATATTTTGATCATACTCAACTCTCATTACCCTCTTTCATCCACCTTTTTCTTCTGCTAATTGAGTTTAATATTCTGTTCATTTTCTTTAGTTCACTAGGGTTTGTTTTGTAGTATTTTGCAATGAGGGAGCTCATCTTGTTTTCTTAATTCTAAGAAAAATTAGTACTGAAAGAGAAGTCTTGAAGCACTAGGGCACATATTCTGCATCATATGTATAGCAGATTGTTAGGCAAGTTAAGAAAATATAGTGCTAGTCCCACCTTGCACAGTTACTATAGGTGCACCTTATTTATATCACAGAAGAAAGGAGGTTTTTGTTGTTGTTGTTGTTGTTTGTTAGAAATGTAATGGTTAATAGTAGTATGTCCATGGGAAAGAGCTTTTAGGAGTTCTTTGAACAT